ATCCATAAATAAACTGAGAGTGTTTGTTGTTCTGCTTTTGCAGCACGAAGATATTTTGGTAACTGTTTATTATGGATCAACACATCATCCGGGAGCAAAACTGCAACATCAGGGCTGAGCAGAGCAGCGGGATGTTGGAGGACACACACGTAACTTTGGAGAGATTCTCTTCTCATCGCCCCCACGTTTTCAAGGTCCTTTCCCTCCCTCTCACACCCTCTTCCCTCTTAAAAACAACGGTATTTTTGTGCTCCCTGTAACAGAATTCAAAGCCCTGATGTTACCCATTCCCTGCAAGTCTGTCGTTCCCTGCTCCCATAGAGAAAAGACCCGGAGCTGCGAGCGAGTGGAATGCGATGTCGGAGCTCAGCCCCCGGCTCATGTCCCCCCCGTGGAGGATGATGCACCCCCCGGGGCTCCGGCTTCTCCGCTGCTCATGGTCCTTTACACCAGCAGATGTGTGGAGCATCCCTGTGCCCTCCACTGAGATCCGTGCTTCCATGGAGACCCTCCCGCGTTCCCCTGCCCCTGCTGGCAGCTCCTCGTGCCCAGATTCGAAGCCCTTTGGGCGGGTGGAGTAGCACAAGAGCCTTTATGGAACCAGTTTCTCAGCTCACAGCCTTACAAAGCAAAAGGTGGAGACTTCAGGCCGGTTCACGCAGCACGGAGCAGTCCTGGAGCACGGCGAGGGCTGCTGGAAATTCAACGCTGCGCTTCCCAACGTCCAGCACCGAGCACCGGGACCGGCAACCAGTTCAGAGCCACCGCCAGGAGGTACCAAAGAAGCGATGGCCGGAGTTTTGTGACGTTCTCATCTGAACATCTCTGGTTGCAGCGTTCCTGAGCACCGGTGGGTGCTCCCGGCTCTGGGCCGCACGTTGCTTTTCCCTGCGGTGTTATTTCTCGGGTGCTTTTGGTGTGTCCTGCAACCGCGATCAAAAACACACCCGTACTGGAAATGCGAACTGGGAAAACAAACCGTCCCAGAATAGAGTCTGCACAAAGGTTGTTAAACTGGGGACTGAGTTAACTGGCGGCTAATAACAGACTCAGTTCTCCCACTGGCTGTTCCGGTGTGCGAGATCCACCGATTTCACCGGAGGCCGTTCGTGTCTGTGGGCACGAGGCCACGTTTACTGGGGTAACTGGGAATGCAAATCACAGGACAATCAGGGGAT